TATCTATCTATCTATCTATCTATCCATCCATCCATCCATCCATCCATCCATCCATCCATCCATCCATCCATCCATCCATCCATCCATCCATCCATCCATCCATTTTCTTTATCCACTTTTCCATTTAGGGTTGTGGGGATTTGGTGCCTGTCACCAGCTGTCCCTGGACAAGTCACAAGTCCGTCAAAGGATCATATAAAGACTAATGAGGCAAACAAATATTAACATTCTCGCCTGTTTTCCCATTCATTATAGTTTTTCCACTCCCATTTCCTTTAGCGTTTCCTTTCAGATGTGCCAGTCTTCCTTAGAACCACTCACCTCCAGTCACTTCCCTATAATTAATCTTCTCACACACCTTTTACAGCTGTGTGGGAGGAAAACATGCAGGTAGGAGGAAGTTCAAACCATAACAATCTGCTGTGATCAAACTTCATTTCTGTTAATGCACCTGAGTTGGGGAATATTGCAAAACTTAGTAGTGTTGCCGACGCAGAGCCATTACTGGCATAAGGCTCCCTGCCTGTCCAGTTGAGCACACCTTTACAGTAATTTTACAGTAGTTCATATCTTAGATCTTATTAATGTTTTTCGTTTACATTTTATTGTTGGATGTAATTGGGACCCTGTGTACATAATTTGGTTCCACCACATGCACCACATGTGGTGCGAACGACAATAAAGAATATCTGACTCTGACTGACTCTAATGTCTCTGTTGATTTAAATAAACTGCTGTGAAGGAAGTACAGGTATATTATTTATTTTTCTGCTTCCTGGTACATTGCAATGTTTATGTATTTACAATATTTTCCTGTATCATAATTCCTTATTTGACTCTGGGTCATTGTGAAACTGAACATTATGTCACGTGTGATCGTTCTGTGACAATCTATATAGGTTGTATGTTTTTTCTCTCAGTCAGGACTATTTAAACAACTGATGTAACTTAGTAAGGTTCAGCTCAGAACTGATGCCAGCAGACTAAAACTGCAATGTTTTGACTTTTTTGTGAACTAACTGTCTCTCATTTGCCGGCAAATGAAAGATTTGATGAAGTCTACACCAGATCGTCTGTGAATCTGCTTTTTTCTACGACATCTGCATCAGTCTTTTTGCATACTGGCTTTTATACATACTCTTGGGTCATGACTTTATATGTCCTGCTGACTGCTGTTCTGTAGACCAGAACCAGTTTTCTTTCAAAGGGACTTTGTAATTGCTACAATAATACAAGATGTGTTGATATGAATAACTAAGAAAACATCTACACCCACTTGATTGCAACACAATAACTGATTTCATTTTTTTCTTTTCTTTTTTCTGACTAGCTTAGCCAGGGGACTTATGTCAGTAATAAAATAAATTGCGGTACCTATATAGAGAGCACTTCTTCTCCACCCAAACTGCAGAACTGAACAAACAGCCTCGGCTGAACTATCCACTTTCCCTTAAAAATGAAAGAAAAAAAAAAAAGGTTTTATCTCACTTCATCTTTCAAAAGACACAATTAATTGACCTTTGAAGGTCCAGAACAGTTCTGAGCATGAATAGATACTTCGAGTTAAACGCTGGCACACAGTAAATCTGTTTAAAACCTCAACTGCAATGTCACAGTATGTAAAACACAAAACTTAGTTAAAGTTGATTAAAAATGATTTTTTTAAAGGTTTTATAAGAAACAACAGATTCCCTGTTCTCTCCTCGTTTCATGGAAGCAGAAACTGAATGTCAACAAGCTGATCCTGAAAGATGTCAGATCACCAGGGTTGTTCCAAAGACAGAGGGCAGTACTGGAATATATACTGTGAGGGTCACAGCCTCCCAGACTGCTAATCTAAAGCGGACATGAGCATTTTAAAACCCCAACAGCAGCATCAGAAAAATGTTGTTCTCTCATACCAACAACACAAAAACAACCTCCAAAATCTAGTAGTTTAAAAATATTTTCAGCACGCACACAAAATTTTCATTCCACATCTGCTGTTTAAAGGCGTTTGCATTTATTCAGGCACATGGTTTCTTTTGACTGGCTCACTTGGGGATTCAGCGTGGACTTTTTGTTTTCTTGACCTCCATTTTGAATTAATCATCATATCCTTTGTATAAATTTCCAGATCAACATTTAAAATATATAAAGGTAAAAACATATTTGCTATAGTTTGTGTTCTGGTTCACCATTTGTATTTACGCTGATTTTTTTTCTTTACATAAACATACAAATACATAAAAAAAAATAAAAAAAATTCAATCATGTTTTGTTCCAAGCCTTTCTTTGCAACTTTTCTCCGATGCATATTGTTAATTCTCCACTATCAACTTCCTTAAATAGAAAAAAATTGAAAATAAATAAATCAATTGTAGCAGCTTCTTGAAAGTTCAGCCAAAGTCACAATAGTCCAAAATATGTCAAGAAGACAGATGTAAAGCATCCCACTCCTGTTACTGGGAGTGTAAATATTCACTCGAGTCTTTCTGCAAACTCCCGTGTCACAGCTTTCAAATAATTAATAGCATTGAAAGTCAGTGGCGAAGCCATATTTACAGACATTTAGCATCTTGATTTGTGAAATCTGTTTCTGAATAACACTCAGACTCTGGTTAAGATGATAAGGAACCAAGTAAACATGTACAATGACACCATTACCACTTTACCCCTGAGCCCTTTCACTTAATTTTAATTCTGACTCTACACTGTTAGGTGGAAAGGCATATTTTAATCTCTAATGTGACACATTATCTGCTAATTGTGTTTTCTTTGAGTCATTCACAACAATTATCTCCAGTCCCTGAGACGTGAATGAAGTTGGCTGACTCAATTAAGAACTGTGTGCAAATTATTAAATGTAATTGCTGTGTCCATCCTTTGTTTACAGTTACTGTTTGAGTAATATGTAAAATAACTGATAATTTGTAATAATGTATTCATATTTAATTATCAATTATAGAAGGTCATGTTGTAGTCAATGAGACAAAGTCTGGTAATTAGAGGCTCAGTTTACTGTATATCAGAAAACAGTTGTGTTTTTCGGGGAGTATGAGATTAAAGATTTGAGTTTTTGCCTTATTTTTATGTAATTAGTTAATTGTGACAAGAAGCACAGGATCAGAATGAAGTTTGTTTAAATTTAGAAGGAGAAAACTTTGTTAGTTGGGGGATTTTTCATAAATACTTTATTAATCCCAATGGGAAATTAAATGTTGTTGTAGCTCGGTGTCCTTGTTTCATTAAGATATGTTATAGATGTTGAAGGCTGTAGGCAGGAAGGATCTCTTGCAAAGGTCCGTCCCACAGCGGATCCGAAGAAACTGGCTCCAGATGCCGTCTGATCCATCCAACCAGACTAGGCTAGCCTCTCGGTTCCTTCGGGCAGTCCTGCTGCCCGAATGCTGGGCAGAACTCCTCCCAGAGCCATCTCAAGAACCTGAGAAGAGGCCACTCCTCCCAGCAGCCTGCTGAGCTCCTCGTCACTGCAAACAGTTGGTGTCAGATCCGGCGTGCCTCTCAGTCCTCCTAGGAGGCAGGACTGCCCGAATGCTGGGCAGAATTCCTCCCTGATCAATGGTCACTGCTCCCAGCATTCTGCCGAGCTCCTTATTGTCACCATGGACAGACAGCTGAAGGTGCCGGGGGATGATCCTGGTGCTCCTCCTGTTGTCACGAGCTGAGTTTCCCAGCAGCT